CTTCCAACTCCCAGAATTCCCCAGCACTGGCTGGGGAATTCTGGGAGTTGGAAGTCCATACATCTTAAAGTTGCCAAGGTTGAGAAACACTGTTCTGAATGCTGCAGCAGTCTTTCAATTTTGAGTTACACAGTGAAAACGCTTGAAGAGCACAGGACAAGCAAAATCCATTGTGGCCTTTTGTCAGTAAAGCCATACAACCTCAGTGTGTAGAGTCTGATAACAAAGCTGTGCATCCTTAAAAGAGACTTGATGCTATCGGTGCCAAGAGCAATTAATTGCTTTCTATAGTGGTCCTCACAATCTGATGGGTTATATGGTTTTGCCATTTGATCATCCAATTTTCTTTACAACAATGATCACATTTACTTACTTACTTACTTACTGTGACTCCAAAATTGTTGATATGAGCATTCAGTCTAATGCTTTTGGTATTTTAGTTCCTAAATTCCTTTCCATTATTTGTTGTAATTAAAAAAAGTAATGTTTCATGATGAAAGGCATACTGACTTGCAGACTTCCTTCTGAATTATACTAGTTTAATATAGTGTATTAAAATAGTTATCTGTTTTAATATACTATATCTGTTATAGTATATGTAATCTTGGTTATCTGTCACAAACAAATATGCAACAAATCATGGTTTCTCTTCTTGATTCACTTTAACTGGGTGGAATGCCTGGCTTGGAGGTTGGAGAAAGCCTGGCTTACAAACATTCAGCTTGGGAGAAATACTCAACACATGAGTTCATGTTTGAATCTGATTGACGTGCATACACCATACGAACGTGTTTCTATGCTGTGTGGTGTCATATTGCCTAGCTGCTGTTGTGCTATGACCTTCAGTGTAATCCCCTGTACTTAGGTAGGAAAAGTGCAAGTGCTCTATGAATGATCCCTTACAAGAATCTGTATATTTTAAACATTTGTTCTGAATATTCTGTATTCCTCTCAAACCTCAAGCATACTTCAAAATGATAAATATAGCAGATACATGCATAGTGATCCAACAGTCTGTTTTCTCAGTAAGTACATAAAAGCCAAAAATAAGGTAGCTATGTAGTGATTCAGTTCAGATGTGGCAACAAATAGTTGGTTATTATGAAAATGGTCATGCAAGGGAAGAAGTTAGAAACTTTCGATTGCGCCATATAGCAAACTGATTTCCCATTTCAGCTGAATGTAAAAGTATTTTACAGGTAGTCCCTGGGTTAAGAATGCCTGGTTTACTGATAACCCCTAGTTAAGAACGGAGCCTATTGTAGCACAATTTGAGTTAAATACACAGTGATTTGAGTTAAATGCACAATGGTTCGAGTTAATTACACAAAACTACTTATACAGTATTATACAATGATACTGTTCCAGCTTACATATACATTTGACTTAAGGACTGATCTTGGGAATGGAACTCATTCTTAAATTGGGGACTACCTGTATACAAAGCATAATGTATTTTCAGACCATGGTTTGACTCTGTTTTGTCAATAATGGCTTGCTGCATTCAGATGAAAGAGAAGAGGAGGAGGAAGAAACATGAAACCCAACTAAGGTGCCGTCACTGCTTGCTTTCATAGCATAACAATATGGCTTGCTACAACTGCTTGTTGATGTTATGAACAGGCACTCAACATTTAGCCATTTCTTTTAAGAAAGAAGTGCCCTTTGTACTCTGCATAGAAAAGAAGAAAACCCAAGTCCAAAAACTGGAACGTAAAGGGCCTCTAGAACTCAGACT